AAAAAAAACAGTTTGGTAATCTCATTTCTATCAAATAATACACTTGTTGTATTCTTTGTTTAAATTCCTAATTCTATATCTTAAGGGTGGTTACCTTAAGTGTGAGTTTAGGTTCTAGATATTTAATTAAGTGTGTTATATCTTAATTAAATTCTAGACTTAACCCCAAGTTAAGATAAGAGTGTGTTATATCTCTTAAACACCAACTTGGTTTATCCCCAAAATAAAACAACAAAAGAATTTCCTGCCTTTTTTTCCCTTCAATTCAGCCCATCCATTCCCCAATTCATTTTCACCCTTCCTTATACAAAATATAACCTAAAACCTATCCTCCCTTTGCTGCCATCTTCTATCAGGACATCCCTCTTCTAAATACTTTCACCCCTTTACGTAAATCTTCTTCCAAAACCAACCCTAGATACCTACTGTCTCCCTGAATCCCTTCTATCCTGATTCCCCCTCCTTCCACCTTGAGTTGAAGCCTAACACCCACTTTCTTTATCTTAGAGTGATAAGTTCTGAAAGCGCATGATTTGTAGGAGAGCTTTAATTTTATGTGGATTTGTACTTGCAACCCTAGGGCTTTACCACTGTTAAAGAGTATCCCACATCGGAACTTGAAGAGAAAATAAACCGGTATATATGCCCCTGAGTTGAACTAACTAATCGATTGGATTCAATCTTTTAATGTGGTTCAACCCAAGTGTCTTATTACCCAATCCAGTTGTCCGTACCCCATCCCAAATTCTATCATGGTATCAGAGCAGGTTTTGGCCCACCTCGTTTGTCAAGGTGTCCGTCTAGACGTTCATTCCTAGCGGCCCGTTAGTCTTTAGCCCAGTTGTCCGTATGGAGTATGTACCCAACGGCCTGTGGCCCGTTTAACACGATTGCTCGTCAGCGTCTCGTGATCCTTTAGGTGTTAGCGGTCAAAAAAAGTCAAGGGAATGAGAGTTCATTTGCAAGTGGTCAACCGGTTAGATTCAAAATGGCCCGTTTGTCCACTTGTGGGGGAGTGTTAAAGAGTACCCCACATCGGAACTTGAAGAGAAAATAAACTGGTATATAAGCCCTTGAGTTGAACTAACTAATCAATTGGATTCAATCTTTTAATGTGGTTCAACCCAAGTGTCTTATTACCCAATCCAGTTGTCCGTACCCCATCCCAAATTCTATCAACCACTATCAATAAGAGCACCCACTCACCTTCCCTATTTGTAAGGCACTACCCAAAAATCTTGTGGTTTTCTCCCTTTTGGGTTTCCAACTTTGGACATGTATCATCTGGCTCTACATTGGTACATCCACAGGACCCGTCGATCAGTGTGGGTCTACCCAGTTCGACCGATATGGAAGACCGCAACCCGGGTAATTGCCATCATCACCTAGGGCCTTAAGCATGACACTGTAGGGATATGTATTACGTAGTAGTAGTACATTAAAAAAGTTATTGTTAAGTACAATCAAGTCTCCTTAGCCCCTAAGCTTTCTGTGAATGTCATTACTATGAAGGAAACAAATGCATTGACTTTTAAACATGTATCCCTGAAATCTTTTTGCTTACTCTGTTACTCAACATTGTACTAGTGAGTAGATTCTGCGGTCTTGGTCTTCAAAACTTTTGTTTGCTTATTTAAACTTTTTTTTTCCAACGGGGAACACATTATATTATCTTGATTATGAAAGTGTACTTGCGTAATTAGAAATCCTAATTTATCTTTATTAATCCAGGTTGTGGTCATTTCTGGTGAGACTGGATGTGGTAAGACTACCCAACTCCCTCAATACATATTGGAATCTGAAATTGAATCTGGTCGTGGTGCATTCTGTAGCATAATTTGTACACAGCCTCGAAGAATATCTGCAATGGCAGTTGCAGAAAGAGTGGCTACAGAGAGGGGTGAACTTCTTGGAGATTCAGTATGCTACTTTTTTTTTAAAGTTCTTACATAGAAGCTGGGTAGAAGTTCTCTTTTGTTTAACAAAGTGCTTTTAAATATCAGATCTTTTTAGTTGGCTTATTTTTTCCAATTTGGATTTTTTTTATTTTCTGTCCTTCACAGAAACTTTTTGATAGGTTGGTTATAAAGTGCGATTGGAGGGGGTGAAAGGGAAAAATACACATCTTCTCTTTTGCACTAGTGGTGTTTTGCTCCGACGGCTTTTGAGTGACCACAATCTTGATGGAATTACTCATGTCTTTGTTGATGAGATTCATGAGCGAGGCATGAATGAAGGTAATAAGTTATTATATGTTGTCAAATCTTTATTTTTGAAGTGAAATTGCATTCAGTTTGGTTCTTGTTAACTGCATTAGTAAGAAGCCATTAAAAGAGGTATGAAGTAGACAACTATGTGTAACTACAAAGCCTAGGAATAGTATTACCTCATTTTAGGGATGCAGTATGTGTGATGAATTGATCTCATTATGTCGAGTTAGGTTATCTAGCTATGTATGTGTGTATTTGCTTTGATCTTGTTTGAATTGCAATAGAAAAAATGAAACATTATTTCCCTACCTATGAACCTCTTTCTACATGGTATCAAACCTTTTCTAATTTATAAACACCAGAATTTTTTCCTACCTGTTTCTACATGAAGTATTAATTTCTACCTATTTCTACGTGTTATTAGAGCTATGTTTAAACTATTGCCTAGGTATTTTGGTACTTTTCTATGGTTTTTGTATAATATATATTTCAATTTTTGGTATAATATATTCTGTATATTTAAAATAATTTGTAGACACAAACTTTATAGGTTGCCTTATTGTTGCTTAGGCAGATACCTAATCCATTAGGTGATGTGAAGGTCTGTTGGCGACTTGGTTCCTTGCCTCGTCGATGTAACAACCTTTATTCTCTTCTCCATAGAGGATATACTCGGGGTATGTGTTATTGTCTTTGCACCGTCCATGGTTTCATATGATGTTACTCCCTCCATCTAAGAATTTTCATCCCACTTTCCATTTTGGTCTATCAATTGATTTTCTTCTCATTTCCTTTCAAGGGAAAAAAGTTTGCCTTAAATGTCAAATTTACCCTTTCATTTTAAATGATAAGCTTTCAAGCATCGCTTATCATCTTTCTTTTTTTTTATTTTTATTTTTTATTTTTAGAATAAGAGATATATCGTTGATAAAAAAAGAGATACAAGAGGTAGGGGGTGGCCACCCCCACAATTTGGCCCAAAAAAAACAGCATATCCACTTAAGCCACAACAGGGAGTGAAGCAAGCTTGGAACAAAGAACAAGCGCATTCCAATCAATCAATTTTAAGTAATTGTCTCCCATTTTTTCCAGAAATTATCAAGGCCCAGCCTTTAAATTCTTTATCACTTTTCATCTATACTCCCACTATGCACTTTATTTAACACTATTCATCCCATGGTAAAAGTGGAAAGTCAATGGGTTTTTTCATTTCTCATTAATAAATGTGCTGCTCTCATTAATATATGTGCATGACCTCAAACCAGGAAGAGAACTCTTGGACGGAAAGAGTACCTTTCATGAAGTAGTTCTTTTGAATCCTTCCCCTTCACATTTTATTGGGAAAATGATATCTTTATCTCATAGACCTTACAAAACTTCTATTAAGCATCTGTTGTAAATGTTAATCTTGATGGCTATATGGCATGACTTATAGCACGTCTTGTAGCCAAATTATATGCTCAAGCATACATTGTGGATTTATCTGGCACTTTTTATCCAGTGGTAGGTTATTATCTACTAGCTTAATCTTCTCGTTGGCAAAGGTCTATGATTGGGCATTGCGTTATCTTGATATCCAACTATCCCAAATGCTTAATATGGCCCACCTTGAGGCTTTTTTCGAGAGTTGAAGCCCTTAGGCATGGGGGCGATGACTAGGTCTACAGGAAAACACATATGTCAGAGATGGTGAACACCATGGTGCGTGAGTCATAAGGTGATGTAAGGCTTAAACTTTTTTTTTCTAAAATTTTTAAAATTGCAGATAGGTACTTGGTCTCGGTGTTTATGTCTAGTTTTCCTTTTTTGGTCCACTTTCCGTTTCCGGTATGACTAAAACCTTTCAATTGTCTATTTTAACCCTAATTGAATTCTAGTGTTGCTCCACATTTATCCTATACACCTCCATTCATTCATTTCCATACCTCTCTATCTAAATTCTTCATCTTGCCTCAATCTTAGATCTCCTTTTCTCCTCCTATCTCCGCCCGTTCTGGACTATAACCAAAATCATTGGTTAAGATTCACTAAGATCAATTTTATTTCATGACTCTGAAACTCCAAAATCTGACCTTTCTGAAGTTTGAGAATAAATCTCCACCCCTACTCCAAAACCCGATGACGGTGAAACATCAAGAGTATTTTTTTGTAGAAACCCGATTCAGAACCCAAACCCACCTTATCGGGCCCCACATTAAAAGACCATGTTTTTTCTCTGGTTCCACTTTCATCCTCAGCTACATTTGATATTTGTAGCTAGATTGTTGACGACAAGGGGGTCATAATTGGCTTTGTTTGGACAGTTTTAGAGAAGAGCATTTGTGTCTTTTTTTCTTACTTTAACGTTGGCCTTGGTATTTGTTACAAAATGATCATGGACGAAAACACCGGGACGGAGGGAGTATATGTTAGACCAATTATTTTTTCTTGTGACTTCCAATTAGGGTTTCTCTCCTAAATCAGCTTCATTCCTCAATGATGATCAGTGTTATTAATGACGCAAATGGCGCGAGCCAGATCTGCGCCATTGACGTTTTGCCTATCAAATGGCGGTCGACCTACCTGTGGCAACACCATTTGTGCGCCATTGCCATGCCATCGCCATTCTTGCACCATTTTTTTAAAGTTTTGCCCGATCCAAATCCAATAAGGCCCAATCAAACTAGGGTTTGCAATTCATATGGCGAGAAAGATTGGGAATATAGAAAATCCGGATCTGCAGTTGGGATCGCGATCAACGGATAATCAGAAAAAGAAATACCCAGCCCTTCTCTTTTGACGGAAGCCTTCTATAGTTCTATGCCACTGCTCTTTTTTTGAGTGCCGCTACTTCTACTTTTAATTCGAAGCTCAATAGCTTCTAATTTCTCTTTCGGCCTCCAAGTTTTATTGGACTCAACTTGCTTTTAATTTTTTTTGCCATATTTTTTTCTTCTTCTCAGATTTACTGGATACATATTTTACTATTTTTTCATTGAATTAAGTTGTGTTTGTAGATCCCTTCAAAGAACAATTATGTTTGTAGATCAAAATGTTTCAGATATTTAGGAATCAAATTTTAAATATTCTGTGACAAAAAAGCTTACATTTTCTCTAATCAAAACATTTGTGTTCTATTAATTTTTGTGTGTTATATTAATGGTTTCATATATATATATGTATATATATATACATATATATATATATGTATATGCATATATATATATATATGTATGTATGTATGTGTGTCTATACACACACACACACACACACACACACACACACACTAGTGTCCTGTGGCGATGCCATATTTGCGCCATTGCCATCGCCATCGCCATCGCCATTTGATATTGGCCCATCGCCATGCGCCATGACAACTTTGATGATGATCATTGCACTGTTGACGATGGCAAGCAAGTGAATTCAGCCACAGTTGTCGGCTTGTTGCCAACAACTAGGTTCAATTTTTCTTTTATTCATTACTTTTTTAATTTAGACCTATGTTGCACGCATTCTTCAATTAACTGCCCAAAATGTTCCCGATTAGGTACTTGGGGACGTCTCGGCACCTAACTCATTTATAAATTTAGGAAAATTGGTGTTTTCACCTTTCTTACCCCATTTGTGTAAGTACTTGTCCCCGTCTTTGTGGAACTTATATTTAGAACCTTATTTATTACTCATGCCCTAAAATTTTCCTCCCACTTTCTCTTTTGGTCCATTCTTTGTCTTTCTTCCCATTTCTCAAAATAGTAAGGTATTAGTCATTAAATAAAATTAATCCCCCTCACAATCTTTCTTCTCTTCCCTTGGAAAATGGAGCGACCTATTGTCGCTGCAGTCGACAACCATTTCAGAAAAACTGCCACATGACCAGTGAGTTATTGTGACCCAGATTAGCCCCCACGGGAAAGCCAAAGATTTTACCCAGTGCCCTATCCCTCGACCACCATGGCTGACAAGCTCAAATTAGAACGGGATCTGACCTGTTTCTCCTTGTGTCTCTATCAGTAGCAAGAGTGGAGCTGCCCTCCTCTGATTCATAGTCTCCTCTCTGATCCGTGCGAATTGTTTAGATCCCACATTTCCATGAATCATTTCAACCCCAAAAGATCATAGGAGCCACGAAATCCAATGAATAAGCTAATAAGGTAACTGGGAAGCCTGACCACCACCAGTCCCCGCGCTCAATGAATGGCTACAACAGCGACAAGGCAATAAGGCCTGATTTGCAGAGTTTCAACACATTGGTATCAATCTCTAGATTATTGGGCAGAGGAGTAGAAGCGGTTAAGGACGTTTTTAGAAAGTCAATGCAATATTTACACCCCTTTTGTATAGTATTAATCATCTTAGTTGTGTAATATGTGGTTTGATATAATTCTATGTAGTTATATATGTGTCTGCATGAGTGGATTCACATACATACTATGGGGGGCACTGGCCCACGTCAATGTTTTTATTTTTAAATATGAAGTGCAAAAATAAAATAAAGAATTAGAAAATTAAAAGATTGCCCAAGGTAAAAATATTTTTGTGCTCCAGGTCATTTTTTGTGCCCTAATAAAAAATTCCAAAAGAAAAAATAGTTGATTGATAGAATATAAAGGTAAAGCATTTGAAACATTATAGTTATATTAAGTTATGATACACTCGGTACCATAGTTTTCATAACTGAATTGGTGATCGAACCCATTAACATACAAGTTCACTAGTTCCATTGGTTAAATTAGTGGTTCAAGTACATTTTCTTAAAACACTATCTTTTCACATATTTTATATTAAAAGTTAAAATTTTAAAAATATTGATTATCAAATTTTTAAAGTATGATCAAAACCACATAAGAGTACTCCCTAAAAATTAGGATAGAGTCTTAAAAGTTTCCCTATAGGCCTAGATGTCGCTCCTGTCCCTTGCGAGAATTAATTATTACTACGGACTTGGTTGCTTTAATCAAATTCATTTAAGTTATAAATTTTCAATGCATTCCAATCCACTTCAACTTGCAAACTTAAACACCCAATCCCTCTTCAAAAATTAACAGCCCTTTCGCCGACCCATTTTCTCTCTCCACTGGCCAAAGACCAAGCAACNAATTAGGATAGAGTCTTAAAAGTTTCCCTATAGGCCTAGATGTCGCTCCTGTCCCTTGCGAGAATTAATTATTACTACGGACTTGGTTGCTTTAATCAAATTCATTTAAGTTATAAATTTTCAATGCATTCCAATCCACTTCAACTTGCAAACTTAAACACCCAATCCCTCTTCAAAAATTAACAGCCCTTTCGCCGACCCATTTTCTCTCTCCACTGGCCAAAGACCAAGCAACAAGGAAATACAAGAAGAATGGCAAAATTGTGGCAGATATTGCGGTTAGGAAGCTCGTCCAGTCCCTTGTTGACAGTTGTTGTTTAGTCCCAAGGGGCCAAGCCAAAGACATAGCTCTTCAATGCCTTCTATCATTGCGGTTGTTGCCTGCCCAACAACTCTGAGCCGTGTTACCTGCAGATGCACTTGGAAGACTTGAGAAAGGGACAGATCCGGCACCGGAAGTTAAATGTCAAGTTTGAGGTGAGATTTAGGGTTAATTTAGTGAACTTGAAGCGGTGTAATACCGGTATAAACCGGTCATTTAAAACCTTTTTGCAGTGGTTCTGTACATGTAACGCCTTAGCCCAAACCAGAATGGATCTACAACCGGTTTCCGGTCCAGTCCTGTTTTAAAAACAATGCTCCACACTTCATTCAATATTATGTTTTTCTACTTTTGAAATATTTTGTTTTACGTGTATAGTTTTAGAATTTTTTGATTTACATATTTCAAACTTGTTTGATATGATATTTATTCCATTCTCATCATATTTTTAAGTTGCTTTAAAAACAAATCCAGGGGAGCTACCCTGAACCCCGTCCTTCTGTGTGTACGTGTGGGTGCACTGTAATTTTGGTTGGAATGAAATAGATAGAAAACTGAAATACTATCTTCCTACCTTCTTTTTTCTTTGCAGACTTCCTATTGATTGTGCTGAAGGATCTTCTTGCAAGACGTCAGGATTTGAGACTGATTTTAATGAGTGCCACTCTTAATGCTGATTTATTTTCTAGTTATTTTGGAGGAGCACCAACATTTCACATTCCAGTATGCTTTTCATTTCTAAATTCTTAGTTGTTGTCATCTACTCCGTCTCATGTATAATACTGTAATGTGTGTGTGCACATCTGTTTAGCAGAAGCACTGTTGAGAGATCTTGTAGCAAACATACCTTTGGATATCTTTTTCAATTTACACCCAATCAGTCCCACTGCCTCAAGAATAAAAAATAGTGTGTTTTGATTACCCTTCACTTTAATTTATTTAATGATCTACCTAAATAGAGCATATATGCATATGTGTTTTTGGCTAATGGGGCATGCATAAATTGTAGGGCTTCACATACCCGGTAAGAGTTCATTTTCTGGAAGATGTATTGGAAATGACTGGGTATAAGCTGACTTCATTCAATCAAATTGATGACTATGGCCAAGATAAGATGTGGAAAACACAGAAACAGCTAGCACCTCGTAAAAAGAAAAACCAGATTACTGGGCTTGTTGAGGTGGGTAGGCACCTTAACCTAGTTTCCATGTGTTTATATATATGTATGTATGTGTGTGTGTGTGTGCGTGCGTGCGTGCGTGCGTGTGTGTTGTGTGTGTGTGTGTGT